ATTCTAAAGTATGCCTACATACACAGTTTCGCTCAAAACCATAATATACTCAAACGCCAGGCTAGAAAGTACTAGCATATATGAGCTGGGCCCCATAAGGCTCAGCCTTCCATGCCCAATGCTATTTTTTTCATGATTTTAAGTAGTAATTGAATTTCTGTGAATGCCAAACATATTCTTTTGAGTCTATCTTACCATATAATACAACTTTACTATCATCAGTCAAAAGTATTTTTGTCACTGTGACACAGGCCATTCCACATGCGTTTTTCCAAACTGAAGTCGTGCACCCATGTACTCTTAGACCCAAACGCGGAGCTTTCTGGGACTTCTTGCATTCAAACAATGTGTAATCAACCGTCTAAGAACCGTCACATCACTGACAGAGCGATTTAAAATTTTTTTCATAATTTTTGAGGATATTAAAGGCCTGGTCTTGCCGTCGACCATCGCCGACCATCCTCTAAAAAATAATTTTTTCGCATACAAAATCGATTTGCAGTCTACTTGTTTTAGTTAATTGGGTTAAATACAATAGTGAGAGTGCATACAACTTAGTTTTCAATTCCAATATACCTCCTGCCTTAAGTTTTTAGTCTAACTCTTAAGTATCCTCTTCTGGACCGAGCAATGATTTCTTTAACGCTTCAAAATCAAAAGTACCGCTATGTCCAAAACTTTCTTTCATCAAATTATTCGATTTTTGAATTGAGCTTGCGGATGGTAGCTTATTTAAATTAATTTGCTTTGTTTTTTCATTTTTAAAAATTAATTTAATCTAGCACTACTATTTCATTGAACAGAAGATATCATGGGTAGTTATCTAAAGTCATGAAAAACAAGAAGATGGAATGCAAATGTAACGGGGTTTCTTCGGTTATCCAATGCCTACATTCCAGGCTTTCCGTAAAGGTATCACTTGTTCAATTTGAAAGACTAGAACTATCTCAAAAAGAGTTTTGAAAGTAGTGAGGTGCGGCACTACTATTTCATTGAACACAATTGTATATACTTTATGGGGTCGGAAAATTTTCCTTCTCTGCGTTACACACATCCACTTTTACCACAAATCTAATATACCCCTTAACTCTTTTTTGAGTACGGGTATAAAAACGCATGTGGTCTGGCCTGTGTTCACAGTGACAAAAATGCTTTTGACTGATGATATTAAGTTGTATTTTATGGTAAGATAAACTGTAAAGATTATGTTTGGCATTCACAGAAATCCGATTACCACCTAAAATCATGAAAAAAATAGCATTGGGCATGCTAGGCTGAGCCTTATGGGGCCCAGCTCATATAAGCAAGTACTTTCTAGCCTGGCGTTTGAGTATAGTATGGTTTTGACCGAAACTGTGTAGGTAGGTATACTTTAGAATAAATAACATTCATATCACAGTTGAAAAATTCATGTTAAAAGGATCTAATGACTTAAAATACCCAGAAAAGCTCGCTAGGAATTGATTTTGATCGGAAAAGATCGACGTTTTGCCATGGCCAACTGTCCAACTGGATATAAATCTCATCGAAATCTTATGCTGGAATACCAAATACATTGTTGACGCTGCAAATCCGTGAACCAGAGCCAAGTTTTATCAAGTGGTTCATGGATTATTGGCTCAAATCCTATTGAAGCGTTGGTAAGAGATTAATGACCCATGTCCGGTCGGTGAAAGTTCGCAATGAAAACCAAATTGATTAAAAACTAAATATTCAAGCTCAGGAAACATGAAGAAAATGAAATATATGTTTTTATTTGAGATTTGTTTTATTTTTCAATGTTCTAAAAAAACACTACTATTTCATTGAACAGCAGATATCTTGGGTAGTTGTCTAAACACATAAATAACAAGAAGATAGAATGCAAATGTAATGGGGTTTTTAATGCTTACATTTCAGGCTTTCCGTAACGGTATCACTTGTTCAATTTGAAAGACTAGAAATATCTCAAAAAGGGTTTTGAAAGTGATGAGGTGCGGCACTACTATTTCATTGAACACAACTGTGTGTGTGTGTGTGTGTGTGTGTGTGTGTGTGTGCAGTCTGGTTGCCTGCGCTAGTCGGTCGGTCGTAGGGCTTCTTCTCAAGGCATAGAGAAATGCGAATCCGAATGGAGGGTTGTCTCTGCACAATTCTTACAGTCGAGCTTTTCATGGGGTGGAAAACCTCTTAACACCAAGTTGCGATGATCTCAAGCTTACTTTTGTTATATGCAAATTTCAATTAAGAACCATTCTGCAATTTTCAAACATATACGATATAAAACGAGAAGAAACGTGCGATTCGCTTCTGGGGACGCGACTCTACTTATACCCGTACTCAGTCAGTACATACATTTTTGAGCATGATTTTTTAGAATTTTAGAACTAAAAAAAAAAAATTTACATTTTACATGTTTTTTTGCTATATCTCTTATCTACATCTACATCTACAATGTATATTCTACATCTAACATGTATATTGTACATGTTCCATTTAGATTCTACATCTCTTCCGCTACTGAAAGCGCTGAAAACACTGAAAGCGGCAGAGTGTGCGAGCGAGAAAGAGATAGGTAGCGGGTCTCTGGCAGGAGGGGGCGGAAGAACCAACAGAAAATTAATTTCTTCATTCTGGCTATAATTATGATCCGATCTAATTCAGATTCGGCAGTCTGGTAGATATGGGCATTCTCTATACGATACTGCGTTTTTAGTTTTATCGTATCTTTAAAAATGTGCCTGCCACAGATTTTCGTCCTTTGTGGGGGCGGAAGGAGGCGGGGCGAAATTTTTAAATACACTTGTAGCAGTGTGATGTCACATAAGTCTGGAAACCAAATTTGGTTGCCTTAGCTCTTATAATCTCTGAGATCTAGGCGCTCAACAAGACGAACCGACAGACAGACGGACATGCGGACAAACAGACATGGCTACATCGACTCGGCTATTGATGCTGATCAAGAATATATATACTTTATGGGGTCGGAAACGTTTCCTTCTCTGCGTTACACACATCCACTTTTACCCCAAATCTAATATACCCCTTAACTCTTTTTTGAGTACGGGTATAAAAAATGTACTGCATTCCGTTGTTGTCTGTTGTCTGATCCCAAATGTATTTTGCACTTTGAATGAAATCGAAATGATGGATGCACCACCGCAGTGGGGAGTGCGCGCTCCAGTTTCAGGTTCCGCCACTCCACTCCCCTGCCTTCTTCCTATTCCTTCTCTTCTTTATTATGAGGCACCCAACTGTCCCAACTGCCAGTCAATTGTTACCCCCCTTTTACGAGCGAGAGTTATTTTATCTCAGATTGAGCAGATTTGGAGCAATAAACTTTTACGAATAGAGAGAGGATGGCGAGGGACAGGGACAAAGAGAACAAGCGATGACAACGACCGTTTGGTCACTTGGTCACTTAAACAGTTAGAGAGAGGAGCAAGCAGAGCTAACAGTTTGAGAGAGCGGAGCAAGCAGAGCTTACAGTTTGAGAGAGCGGAGACAAGCATGAGCAGAGGCAGAAGCAGTGCAAAATTTAGCAGAGACAGAAGTAGAGGTAGACCGAAGTTTAATTGACGTGTCTGTCTTTCTGTCTCTCTGTCCATCCAGCAGCACAAATGCTAATTAGGTTCGATGGCTGTTGGAAGAGAGCGGGGGGGGATCTGATCGCGACCCAGACAAGAAAGAGAGAGCAAAACCGTAACAAAAGTAGAACCCCCAAAAAAAGTCGAACCGAACGGTTCTTTGCATATTTCGAGAACATAATTACATACATACACACACGTATATATGTTAATGTGTCTCCACATCTTCATCTGAGATTTTTTCGGGTTCCAGTTTACACAAATTTGGCAGTGTCAGCGCGCCCGTGGCCGTGGGGTCAAGGAGGAGCAACAGATTCAATTTCTGATGACTTTTGTTTATATTTCAGTTTCGGTTTCACTAAGCAAACTGTCATTACAGCTGTGGGAATGTACGTACATATAGTTACATATGTATGTATGTACACATAACATGATAAATGTATCAGATAACTGCATTAAGTAAGCTATGTACCCTTTTAGCTTAAGCTAAAATAAAAAAAAAAAAAATTAAGTCTTAAAAGTGGCAAATATCAAGTGGGAAAAAATAAATCTACATACAAGCAACACTTGAAACAAATATACCCCATTGCCCATTGCTAAGGTACGGGGTATACCGCAATCCGATGCGTTACATTTATTTCGCCTTCGGCCTCCTTCCAGCCTTCACTTCGCCCTCGTATTTCCTCTCCTGGCTTTGCTTCTGCCTGCTGCCTTCTTTTCTGTCGTCTCCTCTTTGGCAGCGGAGCGTAACGCGACGCACGCGCCGCCTTCAGGCAGAAGCAGCGACGCAGAGAAATTTTATGCGCAGGCGCAGCCCCCAAAAAGGCCAGCGACTTTTGTCTTCTGCTGCTTCCTCCGCATGCTGCGCGACTTTTGTTGTTTTTGTATTATTTTGTTGTTGTTTTTTTTCGAGTAGGCGGACAATCCGCCTTCGATCCCGTTCCCACACTCTCAGCAGGAACCAAGAGAATAGCAGGGGAGAGGCAAGGAAAGACCGGCTGCAGCTGGTCTCGGCTAGAGGAAATTTGATACCCCTACACACCTACTCGCACCGTCCAAAGGCAACAGACCAGAGAGAGCAGTGGGAAATGCTGTAACGATGCTCCCTACAATAGTTTCCTTCACATTCTCTTGACACCCAGATCAAGAGACCAAGAACTTTTGTATTGAAGGAGACGCACTCTTGATTTTCTTAAAAAAATTCAACTAAATAAAACCCACCTTGTGATCTTACACACCGCACCGCACCCTGACCACAAGCAGAAGCCCAAGACCAGTAGCTGGGCAGCGCAGAACAGGCAATCCTAAGCCGAGTTCAATGTCAAGTTCAATGTCGTGCCATGCGACGAATTTTATGAAGATTTAATCGAAACGAAGTGCCCTGTGACTATACATTTAGTTTCCAATTTAGTTTCAGAGATCAAATCATTTAATACAGATTTTTCAGAGCGTCAACTTCATATCGATATTTTTATTTTATTCCACTAAAACAACAGCAAAATTTACAAAACAATAATAATATTTTTTCATCCGGTACCAGCAAAAATAACTCAAGAAGGAGAACTCAAGTACAACGCGCTTACCGTTTCACATAAGGATACTGCGAAGTGAGATTGGATTGCTTGGACGGCTCTGACGTATAGAAGGAACAACGCTCCTATTGGTTAGGGACGAGCCCAAAATAAGACAACGGGTATGTTTGGATTTGATTGCATTTGTTGTTGTTGTTGATGAGCTCATCGGCACCAGGCCCCGCCAAAACTTCCAACTTCTTTCCGCGGCCTCACCCTCACACTCGACAGATTTATATCTCGCGGCTTCCCGTCCTGTCAAGGACGCACTTATCCCGATGAAGCTCTCTGTAGGGGGAGCTGTTCAGAAACGTTGGTAGGAGGGGTGATGCGACACGCTTATGACGTGAGTCATTCAGAAAGTGAACAAGAGGGGAACCCTAGTGGGAGCGGAACGAAGAACAAAAACGCAAAACCCGAAAAGAGTTTTAAAAGGGTGATTAATGGTGGCGAAGTGTACAGGGGACTGTCGAGAGAGGGGCAAGAGGGGTGTTTTGCAAGAGCTCGTGACACTACAGATCTGCTGGATCGCGGCCCTCTCCCTGTCTCTTTCTCTCTCTCTCTCTCCCTGGCTTCGTTTGTTTTTTTGCGAATTCTGTCATTTCCTTGTGTTTCGTTTGTTGTGTTTTTTTTATCTACAAAAACATTTGCAGGGCGCCGTTAGGACTGCGCTGCCGGCGTCGCGATGCTTGCTCTGCTGGGACGCTCCCGTTAGTGGTGGGACGGTATTATGGTGGTGGTGGGCAATGGCAGGCAGCGAGAGGAGGGAGATTCATTAGCACAAATTTTAAACTAAGTAATTAAACACGCGAGATTATCTTAGAACAAGCCCAGTCCTCATTCCTCTCCACCATGGCCCATGCAGCACGCACGCAAAATTTTTGGGCAGCAGCAGCAACGTTACAGAGAGCGAGCGTGCCCGGCTGCTGCACACATACGGGAATTTTTATTGATTTTTCACACACAAGCACGCACACGGACACGAAGGAGTTGCGTGGAGATAACGGAGGAACAGCAATAGGGAGATGGAGAGCACAAGACAAACAAAAAAAACCACCAAAATGCAATTGTCCCAACCATTTCACCACTCCCCAGCCCTTCACACAGGATAACACTTACTGCACTCTCACTCGTTCGTTTCGTCGAGACTCCTCTCTCTCTCTCTCAATGTGTTTGTTTTTTGGTTTCCTTAGCTCCTTGACAAAATTTCAGCACACGCCCTAATTTGATCAACGGAGGGGACTGCTGCAGGCGCCAACGAGAGGGGCGTGGGGGCCACCGGGCGACTCCAATAAACAAAAGGGACACACACACGCACACACACAAAAAAAGTGCAGGATACTCCCGTTACCGAGCCCGCTCGCTCTCACCTTTCTCACCGGCTGATGGGCGACCGCGACAAATCACTTTTATTAGATTAAACAGTGGCACAGAGCCATTTCAATTGCACTTTTCGATGCTAGGCTATGGATTTAAACGCGCGTTTAAGTTTTTATGTTTGGGCGCCCCAACGGCCGCAAAAATGCTGGTCAGTGTGACCGCGGAATTATTGATAAAATATACCCGCTTGACCCTCAGAAATATAGCGAAATATACCTTGTCTTTATCAAAATATACCGTAAATATACTGACTGACACGAACATATGCGTTGATATTCCTCCATTTTGATATTCCTTTTAACATTACTAGCAAGCTAAGACTCTCAGCCCTAAAAAAATAGTTTTATCCTATTCTTCAATCAATTTTGTTTAGGATTGGCTAGTTTTCAGAACTCTTTTTCATTGGATTGTTTACATAAGGTTCAAACAAAAACGGCCAAAGCATAAAATGTAAGTGTGAACTCTGGTCACATTCCGTCATTGCTGCTGGTCAAGTAAATTTTCTGCATGCGTATGGACTAGTTTCTTTAATTAATGTTAAATTTGTTGTTCCAACCTGCTTTGAAACATTAATATTGAATTTTTCTTAGAATGACAAGATTTGGACCTATTCATGCATTTTCTTGTGTGTTTGTATACACATTTATCCCGGTCCCAATACCTATTATTGATACCCATAACATGCAACATTTCGTTTAGATCTCTAAAACAGAGACTGAGTAGTTTCTGCACTCATTGGAACCTGATATTAAAAACATTACTACGATTCGATAATATCCATTTTCCAAAGGTATGCAGATTGTTGCTCATTCCGTGCGAAAGTTGCACAACAATGCTGCTAGTTCATTTCCCCATGTTGCTGAAATTTTTCCCATACAAATCAAATGATATTAACGGAAACGCGTATGGAATGAATAAAAATAGTCTCAGTATTTTTTGTGCGCTAATAAACAGAGTGGAACTTGATTAAATACACCGTAATATGCCGAAAATATTCCCAAATATATCTTCTCATTTTCTTAATATACCATGGAAAATCCCATTCCTCGATTTTGATATTCGGTTCAATATGACTGTAATACCGAGTGATCCAAGATCCCAGCTCAAATGAACCAAAGCTGACTCCGATGATTCAGTTGACTATCGATAGTCAGGTGCTACTTTGGCGCGCACTTGAAATGTGTTTTGGATGTTTGAATGTTTGAAACAGGTTTTTTAGATTTTACAATCAGACAAAACATCTAGGTAAGATCCCATTGATCACTTCCCAAAATAAGAGCTGTAATTCAAATTGAAATTTATTCAAACTAAATGAAAACAACAAACAAATATTTAACGAAAGTAAACAAAATTATTTATTTTTTTAGGCGTATAAAAATACACTGGTCTGGCGATAATCGTTGCCAACAAAAGAAAGCAGTGATTTGATTTATATTATATTATATTTATATTTACTTTTAGTCGAAAGCTCATCAATCATGGATTCCGAGGATGAGGCTGTCTTCATGTTTAGCTGCGAATCATTCGAATCATGTGCAGCTATGCCCCCGGATCTGACGGGGGGATTGCTGGACTGCGAGACTGCGGCATACGCGTCCGATGCATCGCCAGCGACCAGCGTCGTGCAGGAGGAAGTATCCTCATCCGTATCGCATGGGGAGAGCAAAGCAGTGTCTGGCGCGTTGAATGAGCCAACAGATTCGGACGACTCGGTTGAGATGCCGCTGAAGAATGCGAAGAATTGGAACTTTGTGGAGCACTTCAAGAAGGACCCGAATGGCTTCCTGCATGAAATTGTCGAACGCTATGTCCACCTGAACAATGTGGTCTTGAGGAAAAGTAATTTGGCCAAGCGGGCCGCTGAACAGTCAAAAATTGACAGGCAGCAGTTGTTGGAGGAGAAGAAGCTGACCAGCGATATGCGCCAAGAGCTGGAGGACTGCAAAAAGAGTCTCGAGGAGGCGAACGCTAACTGCCGCAGCCTGGCCGTTGAGAGTCAGCATTATCTGCTGGAATTGGATCACACCAGAGAACAGTTCTACGATGAACGTTCCGATGACTTGATGAAGCCCGGTGGAGGAGGGGATGTGCCCGGCAACATTCAGAAATACAAAAGGTTGTGTACGGCCCTCAAAACCGTGCTCGATCGGAACCAAGCCGTTATTCAGGAGTTGCAACGGCGCAACGAAAAATTAGAGCTTGATGCCGCTTCCATGGCATCGGCACCTTCACCAGCACCGCCATCAGTGATCAATGAAATGAATCAGAATCTGAGCGCGGAAAATGCCGCGCTTAAGGAAGAGCTGAAGTTCTACAAGAAGCATTTCTTTGATGACAACGCCGAGGTGTTGCAGAAAAACAACGAACTGCAGGCGGAGCTCACGCAGATGCAAACAACTTGCGAGACTCTGAATGCTGCCAATGAGAAGCTTTCGACTGAAATGGGGATCTACAGGGAGTCGTTTTACAAGAGCAAATCAAAGGGCAAGGACGAATTGAAGGCATTCTGTCTGGATATTCAAAACGAACTCGTGGAGAGTAAGCAAACGGTTGAGAAATATCGTTTGATGAACGAGAAGCTGACCGACAAAGTGGCTGACATGAAAATTATGATCAGCCGCATGGATATCCATGCGAAGGGACTCCAGGTGGCGCTCAAAATTAACACTGAACTTGAGAAGCGTGGGCTTGTGCGGAAGCCAAGGCCAAAGAGCTACTCGAAAGTGTGAATTCAAATATACGGGCGAGCTACCAGGAGCTGCAGGAGACCCATATGCATCCCAGGCAGTCCGTGAAGCACATGCCAGCGGATGGCAGACGTCGTTCATAGAAATGAAACTTATCCATTATCTACACAAGCGATTTTGAGCGATTCAAATTCACAATTGTTATTATATTTTGTATTTGCACTGTTTTTGAAACCAAAATTAAACGGCCCCCAATGCACAGTGGTCGATTCTGCCAATCTGGCAGGCAATAATTAATAACTCAAAAAATAAATGAGTAACATTTTTAAAAATATTTTTGTATTTTGGAATATAAATCGCGGAGTATTTAAATAAATTTTAAAGTTTGTATTTTTTAACTTAAAAACTATTAAAAATAAATTAAAAAAAAAAATAATTTTTTTTTATTTCAAAATATTTTAAAATGTTTTTATAAACACTTTATATTAACGCAAAAAAAGTATAGGTCAAAATTAAAACTTATGGTCTGTTTTTTGAAGTATTTTAAATTTCTGCTGCACACTTCACTCAGAGGAAAAATTAATTAATTTTTTTTTATTCGCTAACAATCAGTTTCGCTGAGTTTGTTTTTATCAATTATCAATTATTTGAGCGAAAACATTGATCCAACTCGCTTCAGCTTTTTTTCTTACTCAGTTTTTTACGAAACATCGCGAAAAGCGTGTTTTTTGACACTGCCATTTTCCCTATAAAATCAAATAAATTAACGTGTTGCACGTAGTTGCAATTTGTTTTAACACAGAAGATTAAAAAATACTGGTTTCATAAATAAAAAAAGATTGAAGGCGGAAGGGGGCGAATGTCAAAAGATCTATTCCATGCAAGTGTCGGGTATGATATTAATAGCACACTAAAGGAAATGTTAAGTTCTACAACGATTTACCTCTAATACATGCAAGCACGGGACCAACACATATATATATTTTGTTGAATACTTACCAACTATGATCAAAATGGATGGTAATTTTAATACAAATCGCAAAACATTAAGATTTGTTTTGCTTTACCAAAAGCAATAAAAAGGCGGTAAAATGTACTTAGGTATGGACAGAAAAGTTTGCTGCGATTCAACCGCGTGCAGGTACTGGGACTACTCGATACGAAAAATATATAAATATCGCAATAAATATCAGTGGGAGGTTTACTTTCCAAAAAGTAAAAAAAATTAACAAGATTTGACATTTTATTTTTTATTTTTTGCCTGCCATTGGGAATTTTTTTTTTTTTTTTTTTTTTTTTTTAGGCAGAATCGACCACTGTGCAATGGCAGGAGACGGATTGTATAGATATCCGGGCCCCAGCAGTGCGGTTCTGCATCTGGATGCACCACTCTGATCTGTGTCCCGACGATGTAGCAGAGAACGAGAGACAGTGACTACAATAAATACACACACGAATACGTACGATAACGATTACGATAACGATAATTTGGGGTGTGGAAGGGAGGAACAGGAGGGCACTTCCGTTTGTGCCTTGAAGGTGGTTTGATGTGTTTTGCTCGCGCTCCGGAAAAAAAAAAAAAAAAAAGGAAAGGAAAGGAAAGAACAAAACTTTGGTTCAAAATTAAATCCATCAACACGGAATACTAGCCGGTTGTTTGTTTAATCGAGCTTCTTATATAAAGATTGAATAAATTTGAAGGATTACAATTTTATTAAAGGATTAAGGTGAGTCTTGTGAATTGAAAGTTTTGGTGAAGCAGAGTGTGAAAGTGGCTGACGCCATGGCGTCGAGCCAGAATTGTGAGTCGATGGAGGATATCTCGTCTGATATGGAAGAGTCATCTGATTTCTCAGCACCGGACAATTCCGGTAAAGCAATTAAGAGAAACGCGATAATTAAAAAGGCAATTTGCAAGGCTCCGCGTATGGACAAAAATGTGTCAGGAAGTAAGGTTAAGGTGAGCTCTTTAGACTTAAAAGACATGCTTCATACTGAAGTTGTTCAGAAAAGTGGTGTTCTAGATGTTGAGACAAGGATTAAGCAAGGGAATACAAATACAAGTGATGACTCAGCAAATCAAAAAAAATGGACGGAATATAAGTATGACGTTAGTTTTGTTGGCGAAGCGGCTGTCATTTTTAACACTGGTCAGGTTGAAAATATTCAAAATATTAGGGTTAAGAATGGTCTGTTTTTCTACGAAAAAATTAAAGGGCTAAAGCTGCCAGGGCTTTGCAATATTGTTGCTTTAGGCATTTCGTCTTACAAGGTATATTTCCAGAATGGAAAGTTTGCAAATGAGGCTGTGAGGAACGTTAATTTAAAAAGCATGAACATATCAGCGTATATACCAGGGGATTATGTAGAAACATATGGAGTTATTAAAAATATCCCTGTTGAAATAACAGATGAAGAAATACTGATGAACATCAAGTCGGACGTTCCTGTTAAGTCGGTGACTAGATTAAGACGCAAGGTAAAATCAGAGACAGGGGCTACTGAAGTAGTGTGGGAACCCACTCTATCAGTGAAAATTGGTTTTTCAAATGTAGAAATCCCATCTCATGTTGTTTTGAATTACTGCAGACTAGAAGTTTCTCATTTTTTACGAAATATTTTACAATGTTTTAACTGTGGACGGATTGGTCACGGTTCAAGAACGTGTAAAGCAAAGAAGCGTTGTCTACGTTGTGGTGCGCGGAGTGCACATCTCCGAATTGTCAGGTGTACAAATGCATTTTATGTAACAGTAATGAACACACGGCTCGTGATAAGAACGTATGTCCAAAATGGGCACTTGAGGAAAAAATAATGAAAGTTATGTGTGTAAAGAAATTGTCGAGGAAAGAAGTGACATCCCAATACTCGATAAATAATCGATTTGATTTATTATCCCAAAATGAAAACGCTTTTCCTGCTCTACCATCGAAAATGCCTGAGACAATAGATAAAAACGAGCTTGTAAACAATATCATAAATAGTAATCGATACACCTCAATAGTAAAAAACACCTTAGTTCCCCCACAACAAAATTTCCATCATTTCTCATTACCGTCTTATACTCATGACACTTCAGAACATAAATTCCAATACCCAGTGAAGGAGGATATAAAGTTTGCTGATATTTGTGCTCAACTTTTTCGCTTAATAACACCATTCATTGATTCGGATGAAGTGTTATGTGAGTCCTTTCAGGATTTAAAAGAAAAATTTATAAGAACAGGCAAATCTAGTAGAATGTTTTTGGAGAAAAGTTTGAATCAGAGCCAGACTTTAAAAACACAATAAACATGTCAGTTAAAATATTTCAATACAACATTCAATCGCTCAAAGCAAATAAAAATGACCTAGAGTTTCTCCTTAATAATGAAGATTTTGATTTTGCGTGTCTTTCTGAGATCTTCTCCCATGGAGATGATCCTACTTTTAGAAACATTTTAAATTTTAAAGCTGCTGAAAAACTTAGAGCTGACAATTATGGAGGTACTTCGGTACTAGTAAAAAATAAAATTCTTTTCAAAAAAATTCCTTTCATTGCTACATCTGACATATCAATTATACAAACAACCAATTTATCCCGAAATCTCACAATAGCTTCAGCCTATTGTGAGCCAAATGTACCTCTAGATGATTTTAAAACAGACATTAAAAGACTTTTTGATAGCATGGAAAATCTTCAAGATGTATTCATATGTGGAGATTTTAATGCTCGTAATAGTGTATTCGGTGATAGTATGACCAATTCCAAAGGTCGTTTCATAGAAGATGTTTCCTTAAATGCTGGTTTCAAGTGGTTGAATGATGGGAGCTTAACCTTTAAACAGTCTCTAAATCTAATGTCGGGTTCAGTTTTGGATTTGACTTTTACCAATTCTGATTTGCTTTTTGACTGGCATATCCGTCCGCTAAGGATTGGTGGCAGCCATCATTTTCCTATATCAATTACAATCCAGAATATCAAAATAAAACCAAAGTTCTTTCTGTCTAAAGTAAAGTTACTTTCAAAACTGAACAACATTAGAGAGTTTCAGAACATTAATGATATAACAAACAAGGTGAAAAATGAAATTAGGTCATGCACTCACATATTAGAGAAAAGGTCTCCAAAGTTCTGGTGGACTGACGAACTTACACTTTTAAATAGAATTTTTAAGTCTACGCAAGCTAAAGCTATCAAATATCCAAATGCAGAGAACTTTGAAGCGGCCAGCCAAGCTCGACTAAAATGGAAAAATGCTGTGAAAAAAGCAAAGAGAAACTCTTATCAGGATAAAATTGAAGAGATTAATCAGAGTCCTTCGTCTAGGAAATCTTGGCAATTTTTGAGGAATCTTAAAGGTCTAGGGAAACCTCAGATGCAAGAGTGGTCTCCATCCAATAACAGGGAATATTTAGACTTTCTGAGCAGTCAAATTCCACAAACAGAGTTAACTGCAACTGTTCCTAATAACATGGCTAACTCGCAGAGTACAGAAACATTTTCTATGAAGGAATTAAGTGAGGTTATTAGAAATAAAAGATCAACGGCTGGTGGCATTGATGGGATCACATATGAAATGCTAGCATCTCTTTCGGAAGAGGTAATACAAAAACTATTGTCTTGTTTTAATGAGTTATATGATAGCTGCCAATTTCCAAATGCGTGGCGAAGCATTAAGATTTGTCCAATTCCAAAATGTGGTAAACCACTAGATGACATCAAAAACTTCAGACCAATATCGCTAATCTCAGTTCTTGCGAAATCTGTAAACGGCATGGTTAAAAATAGATTGTCTGAGTTTGTGGAAAAGAACAAGTTACTGCCCTTTAGGTGTTATGCTTATAGGAAAAAGAAAAGTGTTTCCATGTGTATTAACGATCTTTTGTCAACCATTCACTGCCTCAAACGGCAAAATAAGAAAATAGTAGTTGCTTGCCTTGACATAGAAAATGCGTATAACTGTGTAAATTTGGCATTTTTAAAAAAAATCATGTTGTGGATAAAAGTTCCTAACCAAATTATACTATGGATTCTAAATTTCTTGTCAGTAAGGTTTTTA